CACCATTACCCAAACTTTCGGACTTGAATTTTCTTGTGAAGTGGAAGGTTCATCGCTGCGTAACTCTGGAAAAAGGAAGCGTTTTAGAATGTGCAAGAGGTTGAAGGAGGACCAAACTAGGGCAAACAAAAAATTGGGCCAATTTCTAAACCCGGCCCAAATTTTTTATTCAAAAATGGTAGTGTCAGCCCAATTCGAAGAGAATTGCTTCTTCATGTCAAATTTATACAAGGAGTGGACATGTGAGCCCACATATTTGGCCGAGTCAAATGGGCCCAAAAAATATGGGTGTCAACAAATTGAGGTGAATTGGACCATTCAGAAACATGGGCTTACAATTACAAGCCAACCAACTTGGTTAGCCATGGACCCACTGGCCCACCTTTTCTATCACCAACAAAACCTAGCTTTCTTGGTTTGTGATGGGGACGGCTGCAGGGAATGACGTGGGTCGTGATGTGCCTGTGTCAGGTGGGGCAATGCTGCCTTCTTCATTCCTTGGTGGTGTGAGGTACTCAACATTTTCTTTCACTTCACTGAAGTCGCCGCCATTTGCTTCTTTGGAGCAGCAATCGTCAGCGGTGCAGAACCCAACGATGATGTCAATTGGAATGACTGGGGCAAGAGTGACATAACCACCTTAGAGGAGTCTCACATGACATTAAACACCAGCAAATTTCAGCAGACCTGTAATACCGGTTTTGGATCCATTTCCTCATTTCTGATTCTGTGCTCAAGTTATGAAATTAGAGAAGCGATGGTTCGTGCATTATTTATATATAAGGCAAATAGAGATACTGTGGTAATGAATACTTTGCTGCCTTTATTTTGTTATTGGGTTTCTCATAGCATAGGGTCCAAGGAAATGGACATAGCTCTGAAGGTGTTCGATAAAATGCCTAAAAGAAGTGTCCATGAAGATGTTTTGCTTGATGGACATTTTCCAGCTGGAGGTAGACATCTTTATTATATAACTGTTGTCACACATGTTCTCTTCATTCAGCAGTTGTCTTCTTTTGTGGCAAGCAAAGGGAATCACCCGAAGGTGGGGGGCATTACTCCTGGAAAACAATACCAATGAGATGCTACAATTGCTGCATTCTCAAAATTTTCTCATTATAGTGGTGGACTTGGTTTGTTTTTGGAGCTAATGGTTGAACTTTTTTCTTGGTGTGGATTAGAGGAGTCATGGGATCCCGGTGGATATTATCATACTTTGGGCACATATGGGTCTTTACAATTTAAGCAATGGGATCCCGGAATAAAGTTCTCAAGAGCTGATCTGCACCTTGAGGACAAGGTGCTTAAAAGGAGGGGAGTATTGATACGATACCACCCCTTTGGGGTATTTAACTAATACACAGCTGCTGCCACGTCAGCTTGGAGTTTCCCAAATTACCCGTAATAGAATGGAATGCAAATGACTTTGAGTTAGTTATATATAGGGAAGGTAGCATGGTAAAGGCATCGAGATTCTGGAATTGGGAGAGAGTGAGGCCTTTCCAATTGTCTCACATTACTTTTACATTTCTGCATTGTTATTTCATTTCCATGTTCATTGTAATTTTTCCTTGTTCTGTAATTGTCTCTGTTTCACTATCATTTGAATTGTCTTTTGATGAATATATAAAATCCGATTATTCAGGCCAAAGTCCTTGTTCTTTGTGTTATTTCTGTATTTGAGTTGTTGGTCTCTATCAATAACGCTTATGACTGGAAGAGTAACCAAGAAAAACACACTCTTGAGACCTGTACTCTAGTTTATGTTTGTTGTAAGGGCGTAGAAAAGGAAAGCAGGCACATCCGAATATTTGTAAAAATTTATAATCAGGGTGTTGGTTGTAAAAGGGACAGCAAAGTGCAAGGAGGCTGTTGGCAAATGATTTATGAGATAAGTGGCAGTATTAAAGGCAAAATCCCAGAATTTTATGGGTAACGAAGCATGAGAAAGTAATGTGAGGCCAGTTTCAACATGTCTGTGTTTCCTTTCTACTATGCCATTTTGATGATGAGTATAGGGGCAAGTTAATCTATGGATGATGCCATGAAGATGCAGATATTGTGTAAAAGGCCTAATCTCTCCTTCCTAATCAATTTGATTAGCCTTAATTTGAGCTTGAAACTGAGTACTAATCATGGTATGAAACTGTTTGAAAAGTGGAAGAGCATCAGATTTTTGTTTAATGGAATATAACCAGGTGTAACGAGTGTGGGCATCAACAAAGGATATATAGTAGGAATTTCCTGAACTTGATTTAATTGTTGCTGGACCCCATAAGTCACTGAGAATTAATTCAAAGGGTGAATTATAAATAGTGGTGGAAGCAGTAGCTGGGAGTCTTTGAGATTTTCCAATACAGAAAGAAGAGCAAAAATCTAAGGCAGTTTTATTATTGAAGTGTATCTTACAGGTATGTAGTACATTTTGAAGAGATGCATGATGTGGATGTCTAAGTCGACAATGCCACAATGAGTAGGCAGAATCAGAAATTACACTAGCAGGACTACATGTGTTTGACTTAACAGAATTACAGTTTGGCAAATGTAAACTATTCTGTCAACAGATTGTGAAGATTGAACAACATTACAACTAGACAACAGAGAAGAAGATTGAGTGTGTTGAGGGAACACAATGCTGGAAAAACAGTAGAGTCCATCTTGGCCCAATGTTCCTTCTAGAAGGACTTTATGAGACTCCTGCAATTTAACGAAGCATTTAGTAGGGTGAAACTCAAAGAACACATTATTATCACGAGCAAAGGCACTAACACTTAATAGATTCTTCATAAGAAGATTTTTGAGAGACAATTTGTTTTAGTGTCTACACGTGACAGAAAATTGGAGTAACCAATGGCATGAATACGCAAACCTTGACCATTTCCAATGAAAACTTGACCAGTTCTAGTGAGCTGTTGACTTTGAAGAAGGTTAAATGGATTTGCTTTCACATGATGACTTGCTCCAGAATCTGGATACCATTCCAAAACAGACTGAGGAGTAGGTGTGGGAAGAAGAGCTAGTTGTTGAGCAGCAACCATTGCCTAAGGAATAGTATTCTCCATAGGCTGATGAACATACTGAAATGATCGTTGATATTTGGGCTGTTGTGGTTGACGAATGAATTGACGTTACTGCAGTGGTTGTGAAGCTTGGAGCATTTACTGTGGGAGGTTGAAGAGTTGGTACAAAGTTCTCATCAAACCTGTACCAACAAGAATGCACATCATGTCCATACTTGTAACAGAGTTGACACAGCACGTTTGCTCTAGATCCACGACCTCTGCCTCTGTTTGATCGTCCTCTAGACCTTCCACAACCTCTGTTAGCAGGATTGGAGTGACCTTGAAAGGAAGACTCTGAAGTTTGGAGCGACTGGTTCATGCTTTGTTTTCCATTCGCAGAAACAGAGGCGAACAAAGCATTTTGTTCCAGCTGATTTTGTGCTTGGGCAACGTTCACAGTTGCTGGTTTAGACAGCAAAATTTCACTTTGTTTAAGTTGTTCATATGCCATCAGATCTACAGCAAGAGAGCAAGCATTTTTGTGACTTTGTACATTTAGAACAAACGAGTTGTAATCTGAAGGCAATCCTTCAAGAGTATAATCGATATGATCATCCTCTGACACTGGATTTCGAATCGCCTTAAGCGAGTTACACAGAGACTTTATTTGCGAAAAATACTCCGACACAGATTTCGTACCTTTCTTGATTAGGTGAAGCTCAGATCTGAGCTGTCTCGTCTTCGATTTCATATTTCCATGAAACATTATATGTAATTGATCCCAAGCTTCATGCGAGTGCTTAACTCCTAAGATCTCATTCACCATTGGTTCAGATATAGTTGAAAGTAACTAGGTTAGCAACATTTTATCTTGCATGAGCCATTCCAGAAATGCAGGATTTACGTTCTCACTTTCGCGATCTTCTTCCGTCAGATACTTGAGAGGAATTTTTGGATTAACCAGGAATTTGTGAAGCTGATGTGAAGTTATGATAGGCTCAACGATTTGGTTCCAGAAGAGGTAATTTTCTTTAGTAAGTTTGACTGAGATCTGGTAATTGAAGAGGGAAGGTGCTTTATTCTCCACAGTTCCACTTCGGACGCTTTGATTCGCACCACTCTGGTTGCTGCTGTTGTGATTTTCAGGTGAAGAGGATGTTGTGGAAGCCATTGATGGAGGGAAGAAAGGTTCAGGCCCTCAGAAAAAGAGCTCTTGATACCGTATTAGAGATTTAGGAGAGAGAGAGAAGAGAGAGTGAGGAAGATAGATCCATTCTGATATTATTGTAAACAACAACTAAGAGATACATGAAGCTCTCTATATATAGAGCAAAAGGCCCACTCTGAGGTCCACATAGAGGCCCACTAAGATCAAACTAAACACTAACAAAATAACAAATGTAAACAAAAATAGGAGATCAGGTACTGTACAACCCACTAAGATCAAACTAAGCACTAACAAAATAACAAATGTAAACAGAAATAGGAGATCAGGTACTGTACAACCAGAAACATAATAGACTAAATACAAGCTAAACAGAAGAGACTTATATACTCTAATAGACAGAGGGAGTGTATGATGACTCTGCCTTACCAATGCTGTTGTAAGAGATTGTGATCATATTGAAATGACTGGATCCTTCTTGGTTTCCTGCTTAGCATCAGACCAAAAGTGAGGTCATGGTAGAGTTCAGGGTTGTTGTTGTTGTAGTTGTTGGAGGACAACGCCATAATGGTCCAGGGTTCAAATGCTGGTAGAGTAAAAAAAAAAGAAAAAAGTGAGGTCATGGTTATCCTATACATTTTTTATTACTCTTATTGTCCTTTCCCGTTAAAGACCTTACAAACTTCTAAACATGTGCAATATTTTATGAAGTCGCCTATTTCCTTACTTTTTTTGCATTACTTTCCCCCCTCTTTTACCTACTTAAACTTACGTTTTTATTTAAATTAGTGTATAATTGCATAGTTCTGATCCTGTCTTCATTCTTTTTTCAGAGGCCTGTCGAAGTAAATGCGACAATGAAGCAGGATTTGAGAAGCTTTAAGCTTATATTGGAATATATAAAAGCCTTGCCTGTAGGTGCTTTTATGCAGTTTAAACTACAACAATGTTGATTATATGCTTGTCTAATGTTCACAGTATATGCATTGCAAAATCACTGGTTGAATTGTTGATTACAATGGCATATTTTTTGTTATGAATGAATAGGATAAAATAGTTATTTCATTTGTTTCTTGTCAAGATTATAAAGTGCAAGGATGCCAACAATAGTGTGAACTATAAAGGATGACATCTTTTTATTTTATTAAGATCCTTAATTTTTTATCTTTTGAAAGATGCAGTTATTCATATAAATTTGAATATGTCTTACAAACTATGACTCTTTGGTAGTGTTAGAAATAATAGCATTGTATTATTTATTATTCTGTTATTCTAGCAGGTTATTTGGGCTTGGCCCATTAGGTCATTTAACCTCTTTAAATAGAGGTTCTTTGTACAGTTCTATATACAATTGAATACAATATACATTCTTACTTTTAAGTTTGTACCAGAGCTTATATTCTGGGAAACCTCGCTTCCGCATAAAACCCTTATCTCGCCGTGCATTATACCGGCAACCCTTTTTTAGCCCTAACCTTTAACTAGTCACCAAATATTTATCCTTAGCCTTGAATAGTCAAAAACCAGCCTCCTCAACCTTGAATAGTCAGAAATCAGCCTCTGTTTGCCGTCAGTACCGCCGTTTGCTACTGTTCACGGTCACCGGAAAACTTTTCCGGCGATGGTTTCAACCGGTACACCTGCGATCAGGCTCTCCTTCCTCCGGCGACCGTCTCTGTAGAAGGCCCATCACCGACGGACATCTCATGCGCCCTCATGCACGGGTGACCTTCTCTGCGTGTGGTGCTCACGCGCCCCCTCTCACCGGCGCGTGAGCACTGTTCCAGTGACCTTTTCCGGCCATTCCTGGACAGAACAACTCGCCTTCCTCTCCTCTTTCCAGATCTGGTCTTCGTTCGTTGTGGGTCTCGTCCGTTCAGAGGATATCAGTGATTCTTTGCTCTCCATTAGTTGTGCTATTCCTTTCTGAGCGAAACCTCAGGGTTCTTTGTTTTTACTTGGTCATCTTTGTTTTTTTTTTTTTTTTTGTGATGGAAGGCTTAGGTAGTGTATCCAAAAACATTATTGGTGTAATCTTCAGTACTACTCCATCCATTACAACGATGAAACTGACCGGATCTGTTACTTACAACTTACAAGACCTGGTCTACCTCAGTTAAGATCTGGTTTACTGGTCAGGAATATGGCCAACATCTCACAACTAAGTCTGACAATATTTCAAACGATCAGACATCTGAATGGGAAAAGATTGATGCTCAACTGCAGTCCATTGATCCGACAATCATAGACATTTTCATCTCCTTTGAGACCTGCTATGACGTATGGGAGGAAGCTAAAAACCTTTACACCAATGATATTCAGCAACTTTATTCAATTGTCTCAGATAATGGAATTGCGCAAATCTCAAGAGTCTCGAATGGAAACTTATATTGGTAAGATTCGTTCTTTGATGCAAGAATTCTTAGCTATGTTACCTCATGCTGCAGATGCCTTTGCGTACAAGAAGCAAGTGGAGCGCTTCTTTATGGTCGTAACCCTCTCCGGTCTTTCCGAGGAGTTAGAAAGTGTTCGTGAGAATATTCTAACCAGTGCTGAGACTCCTAGCTTGTCACACACTTTCCAGCGCCTTCTGAATCTTAAGGATAAATCAACAGCTCCCACATATGTGCCAGCTACCGATTCCACTGCATTCTTTTCTCGTTCCAATGATTCCAATTGGAAGAGTGAACGCGGACGTGGACAGGGTGGCCGCGGACAGAGGCCTCGTTGCAATTATTGCCAGAATCTTGGACATTTTGAAGAACGCTGCTATAGGAAGTACCCTCACTTGAAACCACTAACTCCCAACTTTGCGCAGACTGATGTTACACCACCTTCTACTGGTTCAGTAACTCTTTCTAATGCCGACTATGAGGCACTTCTCAATAAGGTTTCTTCTCAGCATCCTACTCAAGACACTGGTAATCATGTTGCTTGCCTTTCTCAATCATCTCTTGGGCCCTGGATAATAGACTCAGGTGCTACTCATAACCTTTGTGGTAATAAGGATCTTTTCACTTCACTTTCTTATTCTAATAACTTACCCTCTGTCACTCTTGCTGATGGCACTAAGGCTCCTGCTCGTGGAATTGGGGAAGCCAACCCAACTCCCCTTTTAACTTTGAACTCTGTTTATTATATACCTGGCATCCCTTTTAATTTAATCTCTGTTAGCCAGTTGATTCATTCTCTTTCATGTATTGTTACTTTCTCTAAACAATCCTTTTCTATGCAAGATCCGGATACGGGGAAGACGATTGGAGCGGGCATTGAGTCACGAGGTCTCTACTGTCTGATTGCACCACCTTCTCCAGTAGCGTGTTCTCTCACAGAGTCTCCTGAGCTAATTCACAGTGTTCTTTCATGTATTGTTACCCTCACTTGCACTTGCTCCCATTCATCAATGGCCCCTTCTACAGCTTGATATCAAAAATGCATTCTTACATGGTGACTTGCAAGAGGAAGTATATATAGAGCAACCACCAGGTTTTGTTGCTCAGGGAGAGAATTCTGGAATGGTATGTAAGCTTCGTAAATCTGTATATGGTCTAAAGCAGTCCCCTCGGGCTTGGTTTAGTCACTTTAGTTCTGCTGTTCAATCCTTTGGCTTAACCAGAAGTAAAGCCGATCATTCTGTCTTCTATAGGCATAGCTCTTCTGACCAGTGCATCTATCTCCTAGTCTATGTTGATGACATCATTATTACTGGCAACGATCAAGTTGGGATTGATCAGTTAAAGAAATACTTATTCAATCAGTTTCACACCAAAGATCTTGGCAGATTTCGATATTTCTTAGGGATTGAAGTGGCACAGTCTAGGCAGGGCATTTCCATTTGTCAGAGGAAGTATGCAGTGGATATCCTAGACGAGACTGGTATGTTGGGATGTAAATCTATTGATACACCTATGGATCCTAATGTTAAGTTGTTACCCGGACAGGGGGAGCAATTGGCTGACCCTGGTCGTTATCGCCGATTACTTGGAAAGTTGAACTATCTTACTGTGACAAGACTAGACATCTCTTTTGCAGTTAGTGTGGCAAGTCAATTCCTTGACTCCCATTGGGATACAATTATCAAGATTCTTCGATATATCAAAAGAGCACCAGGAAGAGGTTTATTATACACAAATAAAGCGACTGCAAAGGTATCTAGTTATTCAGATGCTGACTAGGCAGGTCCTCCTTCAGATGACAATCCACCTCGGGGTATTGTGTTATCCTTGGAGGGAACTTGATCTCTTGGAAGAGTAAGAAACAAACTGTGGTTGCAAGGGCAAGTGCAGAGGAAGAATATCGGGCAATGGGAAATGCAACCTGTGAGCTCATCTGGCTAAAACAATTGCTTAAGGAACTACATCTCTGTGAACAGCAGCCCACGAAGCTCATTTATGACAATCAAGCAGCATTGCATATATCCTCTAACCCAGTCTTTCATGAGAGGACCAAACATATAGAAATTGACTGTCACTTTGTTAGAGAGAAGATTCAGTCAGGAGAGATCGAGACAACATTTGTCAATTCCAGTGATCAACTTGCATATGTTTTCACTAAGGCTCTTAGAGGTCCCTGAATAGATCATATATGTAACAAGCTGGGAGCTTATGATATATACGCACCAGCTTGAGGGGGAGTGTTAGAAATAATAGCATTGTATTATTTATTATTCTGTTATTCTAGCAGGTTATTTGAGCTTTGCCCATTAGGTCATTTAACCTCTTTCTTTAAATAGAGGTCCTTTGTACAGTTTTATATAAATTGAATACAATATACATTCTTACTTTTAAGTGGTAGTAATCTTTGAAGTCCTTTAATGTAATTATATTGCCTAATGCTCTTTGAAATTTACTTTCTCTTCTATATCTCTTTCTCTTTCTCTCTCTCTCTCTCTCTCTCTAATGCACATGGGCGCACACTCACATACATGCACTATATTTCTTTATCATTATTGTTTATCTATTTTCACTTGAAAGAAGATGACAACTCGAGTCTGGCAACCTTGTAAATTGTAATGCTTAGCCTTCGTTTTTCCAATTGCTAACAACTTTCCAGCTTTATACATGCACTATATTTCTTTATCATAATTGTTTATCTTTTTTCACTCGAAAGAAGATGACAACTCGGGTCTGGCAACCTTGTAAATTGTAATGCTTAGCATTTGTTTGTCCAATTGCTAACAACTTGGACCAGCTTTTGTTTAAACTGTCTCTCCCCCGCCCCCCAACATTCACTTATTGAACCTCTTTCTCTTGTAGGAATATTGATATTCTGGAGCAAGTTATGAAGGGAATTACTTTCTTCGTTATCATATTGAAATTAATTAATTATTTGAAGGATGCTATTATCTCTTATATTGTTCCTTGGCAGTGTGAAAAGTACTTGTACGGCATACATTCTTTCATTGCTTGTTTGCAGAGCTTGTTCTGCTTGATGACAATAACAAAAGTTAGTAACAATGTGGAAAAAAAAAAAGTAAAAATGATTACTGTTCTTGACAAGGCATCCGGATGATATATGTTCTATGGTAATGTTGATACTATGTATCATCCTAATGTAAATTTTGCGTGTTAACATCCTGCAGACTGGGCAAGAAACCGATTTTGTCTTAGTTTCATGTTCAGGATTAGGAATTGAGCCTTCCAGACGAGAGCAAGTTCTTAAAGCCAAGAGGGTTGGTTCCATTCTTTGTTTAGATTCTTTGACTAAGTTGAGTGTTGCTTCCTTTGTATTTTTGGTTATGTTTAATTATTTCAATGACAAATTCTCCAGGCAGGTGAAGATTCCTTAAGGAGATCTGGCCTTGGATACACAGTAGTTCGTCCTGGTCCCTTGGAGGTAAAGTCCCTATTGCAGCTTGCAGGTGGAACATGTACCTGAATGTGCATTGGATTGATTATTGATGGCTTATGATTGGTAAAATGTTGTTCACAATTACTGCTCTGGTTTAGTTGCACAAATTAGCACTTTTGTGACTTTTGGATGCTAGGAGGGAAAAAAATGAGTACAAAGTGAAATGAGAATATGTGTGATTGCATAAAAACTGGCAAATCCACAAATGCCTTATGGAGTCAAATGGCCCTACCAACCTCACTAATATTCTTCTATAGATGATGGAGCTTACATCATTAATCTCATCGTGTATTTTGAATTGCCTGTCATTGTTTCTCAATTATTTGAGTGACTAATCTGTAAGAAGACAAGCCTTCAAATTCACTTTACTCATTTGAGTACCACCAATCCTTCATATAATTCAATGTCTCTTTTTTGTGTGGAGATTTCTATTTATAGAGAGCATTTGGATATTAAGCATTGATGGGAGAACCGGACCAGATCTGCTGGTTTGATTAGAAGATCAATGAACGGGTTAGGTTTCCAATCCATTCAACCTATAAAACTGAATCAGCAAAAAACTGATGAACTTGTCAAACTAGTCTAAAACTTGTGAAAACAAGTGAGGAACAGGCCGACCTGGTTTGGAGTAGTTTTTCCTTTAATAAAATTGGCCAATATAATGTTTTTTTTTTTTTTTTTATTTTTTTTTAAATGAGGAAAAAGGGATAGACACATACTTTTGAATTTTTTATTTTTTTTTTGTTATCAATATCAACAACACCTTTATCCCAAATTAATTGGGGTCGGTGGTAGATGAATCCAAATGAAAAATACAAAGAGATAAAATTACAAATAAATAAATAATATATATATATATAAGTAAAAAAAGGGTGTAAAAAAAATTAAAAATAAAACAAAAAATAAAAACAAAAAAACAAAAAAAAAGATAAAAAAAGATGGGAAAGAAGAAAAGAGATAAAGGAAAAGAAGGGGAAAAGAAGAAGAGAAGGGAGATGAAGAGGAAAAGGACTAAAAAGGGACCATCTGGAACATAAAAATAACAACGGGTCTAATCCTCTACCATGCTTATAGTTTTTCTCCATTTCGTCCTAAGACACACCGTCCACCAATCTATATCTCACTCCATTAAGTCTTGTTTTACTATCTTCCCCCAAGTTAAGTTATGGTCTACCTCTACCTCTATCTTCCCCCAAGTATCATACTTTTGTTCTTACGGGAATATCTAAGGGCCTTCTCATTACGTGTCCAAATTATTTCAATCTATGTTTTCTCATCTTTTCAGCCACCGGTAGTACTCTTACCTTTCGTCGAATGTCTTCATTTCTTATCTTATCCATCCTCGTATAACCACACATCCATCTTAACATCTTCATCTCTGTGATACGAACCCACCATGGTTTGGGCCCCAAATATAGTAGTTGGCCCAAGTGAAGATGCTATTGGCTCAGGAAGTGGAAAGACTGAAGGCCCGAGTAGAGATATTTACTGGAATACCCTCTAACAGAATGCATGCGTGGGGGAAATTGGTTAAGATGGGAGGATGGTGCTTGAGGGGGATGTTCTGGAATCTTTGGGAGGTTTCGGATCCTTTTGGATATTGGGAGAGAGTGAGACCTCTAGAATTGTCTCACAATATCTTTTATATTTTTGCATTGTCATTTCCTTTTCTATTTCCTTATCTTTGAAATTGTCTCTGTTTACTGTTCTTGTAATTGTCTTTGCTAAAGATATGAAAAAAATGATGTTATTCAGGCCAAGAATCTCTTTTATTGTTCTTATTTCTAGAAACCTGAGTAGAAGGTCTGTAACAATTGGTCCTGGTGGCACTGTTGATCGCCTCAAAGCTCGTTTGGTGGCTAAAGGATACACTCATATATTTGGTCTTGACTATGGGGATACTTTTTCTCCTGTTGCCAAGATGGCATCTGTTTGCCTATTTCTTGCACTTGCTGCCATTCATCAATGGCCCATTCTACAGCTTGATATAAAAAATGCATTCTTACATGGTGACTTGCTAGAGGAAGTACATATGGAGCAACCACCAGGTTTTGTTGCTCAGGGGGAGAATTCTGGAATGATATGTAAGCTTCGTAAATCTTTATATGGCCTGAAGCAGTCCCTGCGGGCTTGGTTTGGTCGCTTTAGTTCTGCTGTTCAATCCTTTGGCTTAATCAGAAGCAAAGCCGATTATTTTGTCTTCTATAGGCATAACTCTTCTGGCCAGTGCATCTATCTCCTAGTCTATGTTGATGATATCATTATTACTGGCAGTGATCAAGTTGAGATTGATCAGTTAAAGAAATACTTATTCAATCAGTTTCACACCAAAGATCTTGGCAGACTTCGATATTTCTTAGGGATCGAAGTGGCACCATCTAGGCAGGGAATTTTCATTTGTCAGAAGAAGTATGCACTGGATATCCTAGATGAGACTGGTATGTTGGGATGTAAATCTATTGATACACCTATGGATTCTATTGTTAAGCTGTTACCCGGACAGGGGGAGCAATTGGCAGACCCTGGTCGTTTTTGCCGATTAGTTAGAAAGTTGAACTATCTTATTGTGACGAGACCAGACATCTCTTTTGCAGTTAGTGTGGCAAGTCAATTCCTTGACTCTCCTTGTGACTCCCATTGGGATACAATTATCAAGATTCTTCGATATATCAAAAGAGCACCAGGAAGAGGTTTATTATACACAAATAAAGAGAATGCAAAGGTATCTAGCTATTCAGATGCTGACTGAGCAGGTTCTCCTTCAGACAGACGATCCACCTCGAGGTATTTTGTTCTCCTTGGAGGAAACTTGATCTCTTGGAAGAGTAAGAAGCAAACTGTGGTTGCAAGGTCAAGTGCAGAGGCAGAATATCGGGCAATGAGAAATGCAACCTGTGAGCTCATCTGGCTAAAACAATTGCTTAAGGAACTACATTTCTGTGAACAGCAGCCCATGAAGTTCGTTTGTTACAATCAAGCAGCATTGCATATATTCTCTATCCCAGTCTTTCATGAGAGGACCAAACATATAGAAATTGACTGTCACTTTGTTAAAGAGAAGATTCAGTCAGGAGAGATCGAGACAACATTTGTCAATTCCAGTGATCAACTTGCAGATGTTTTCACCAAGGCTCTTAGAGGTCCCCGAATAGATCATATATGTAACAAGCTGGGAGCTTATAATATATACGCACCAGCTTGAGGGGGAGTGTTAGAAATAAAATAATATTAAATAGAATTGTATTATTTATTATTCTGTTATTTTAGCAGGTTATTTGAGCTTGGCCCATTAGGTCATTTAACCTCTTTAAAAAGAGGTCCTTTGTACAGTTTTATACACAATTGAATACAATATATATTTGGTATTTGCAAAAAGCAATTAATAGAATAATACTTCTTCTAGATCTCTTACCTTAAAATTCCATTAACTCCCTATTGAAACCTTAGTCTAAAAACCTTGACCAATCCTAGCCAACATTCCCAGACAACCTAGAAAAGTCATAAATGTATGAGTCCTTGCTGCTTCATTGGGGTATGCTGTTAAATGCAGACAAGACAGAGGTCATACCCCTCAGCGCTTTACTTGTACTTCTTACCACCCACTGAGACTATTTTCTCAACTCTCACTTTATCTATGCCTCATCACGAAAAGTGATCAATACTGTTTAGCTCATAATGACTAAATTGTGTTTAGTTATTCCTTTGTGATTGAAAGATCAAATGTTAGAATTCAACAAATAGTCTCTGTATAAATTTGCAAAAGTATAAGTACGTGTACGGATTGTCCTCATCCCATTTTCGCTAGATGGGATTTAATGAATAGTAATTTTGTTTTTTAATAATCTCTTGTTTTCAGTTTTCATTACATGGGGGACATCATGTCTTGTGTTGTCTCAGTTCTCCTTAATTTTTGTACTCTAAATCGGCTTTTTCCATTGTAATTTGTTCCAAAACTCTTGAAATTGGCATCATCGTGGTCCCCTGGCTAGAAATGGTTGCTAAGTTCTCTTTGGTAGGGTCATTTTGTCAGGGTTGCTTTGCGGCAGCCAATTACAAGTTGTAATTCATTAGTATGATGTCTAATCAATGATGTCAGGGTCATTTTTATGCCAAATTATTTTTATTTTTTACAAAATTCAAACTTGCATTGAAGTTCGGGAATGGAAGGGGCTTGTTAAAACATGACTCCATTATAATTTTCCAGAGAATATTACAGTAAATTATTAGAACCTCAAGAAAGCTGAATGAATTTTGTAGGGAATTCGCCCTCTGCAATCTGTTTGTAGTGTGGAAATATAATTAAGCGTTTTTCTCATGTTAACTAACTTGCAGTTTTTCTGACAGGAAGAACCTGGTGGGCAGCGTGCTCTAATATTTGATCAAGGAAACAGAATATCTCAGGTTAGTGTATTCTATTCTTACCATTATTGTGCAAGCCTTTTAGCCCAACAGTTGTTATCAGATACACGTTTCTTGTTTTGAGTTTCTTTTTCCATTCTTTATTGATTTCACTAAAGTGTTTTACATGCCCGTAAACCATTTTTCACAATAGGAATAATTGAGGAATGCCAAATGTTATCCTTGATTTTTAGGGCATCAGCTGCGCTGATGTGGCTGATATATGTGTGAAGGCACTACATGATACAACTGCAAGAAACAAAAGCTTTGATGTGAGTAAATCCTGCTTGGTTATAAGACTGAAGTCAATGCCAAAAGAAACTAAACCTTTTCAACCTTGTCTAGGTATGTTACGAGTATGTTGCTGAGGATGGGAGGGAGCTTTATGAGCTGGTATGGGAAAAATTATTGATGGCATTTTTTATAGAGGCAAAAAAATAAAATGAAAAAGCTCTTCGTTAATGCATTCATGGAAACTGATTATTTTTGGGTCTGCTCAGGTTGCACACTTGCCTGACAAAGCAAATAACTACTTGACACCTGCCCTTTCTGTCTTGGAGAAGAATACTTGATAGTCCCCTGTGGAGACAACATACTTCCCAAAATTTTAATTATAAAATCGCTTCGTACTTTGTTCTACTTCTTCATGACTGCCTCAGGTGGAATGTAACTACTTTTCCTGTATATATATTCATATGCAACCCAAATGTACGACTTGGGAAATTAAAAATTTATAAATTCCTCCTTTGAAAATTGAAACAATAAAATATATGGCATTGAATGTACAATTTGTCTCCTAGTGTTTGATTCCCTTATTTGTAAACTCGCTAACAAATTCATCTTATTATTGTCAATTTAGAAATAAGTTTATGGGTTTAATGTTTTCAAAGTGAATGTAAGTAAGTTATTTATATTTGCTCTCAAAATGACGTAATTTTAGGTTGAAAAATTAAAAAATTATAATGAAAAAGATTATTATAACATTGAAATAAATTATAATTACAAAAGTATTTTGATTTTCGCCTCAAAATGACGTCGTTTTATTGTAAAAAAAAGTGAACCTTAAGTTTATATCTTAATAGACCAATTTGTATTGACAAAAAAATATAGAATAAAAGCAATATAAATTTCACTAATAAAAAAAAAACAATATGAATGATATTTTTTGGGACCAAATTTACAACGGTCGTACCTTCCAGCACCTGTTATAATTTAGAAAAGCACATTAGGGCTTTCGTTTGGGGTGCAAACACAGCCGCAGACGTACTCACCAGATTCCTTGGAGTTTGGCTTGCCCGCCAAAGCAGAATGGAGGCATGGGATTAAGACGCATGAAGGAAACAATATAGCATTTCTGATGAAAGTTGGGCATAACATTCTAACCAAAACAGACGCCCTTTGGGTCCAAGTTATCGGAAATAAGGATGGGGTGGAAAATGCCTTGATGCCAGTTACTAAAGGCTGCTCGAATAGCTCTACCTTATGGAAATGCTTGGTAAGAGTATGGCTTCATATTATATCTCAGCTGAGGGTTCTGTTGAGCGATGGTGTATCTACTAATTTTTGTTCTGATAGGTGGATCTCTGGAAGCTCCCCTTTAATTGATCACGCAATGGGTAAAAAGTGCGAGAAGAAATGAGGCAGTGGAGAGTAGTTGACTGTGTCACTGAGCAAGGTTTGTGGAATCTTGAAATGATTGAACTAAATATGCCAACACATTTGGTGGCTAAGATCAATAGTATCGTTACTCATATAGAGTCAAATAACTAGGATAGAGTTCTTTGGTGCAGAACGTCGGATGGGGCATTTTCCGTGAATTCTGCTTACAAATTCCTGGTTGACAGTTACGCAAGCGAAGACAAAATCTTTGGAAGAAGATTTGGAGTTCTGGACCGGAGAGGATTCGCTTTTTCTTGTGGCTAATGGTTGGGGAACATCTCTTGACCAATGCAAAAAGACAGCTGAGGCATATGGTTGTTGTGGCTACTTGCACCAGATGTTTCCATCCTTGGGAGGGCGTGGACCACATTCTACATTTGTGTCCTTAGGTAAAAAAAAATATGAACAACCTTGGTCCACGAGAATAAGTGGTCAACATTCTTCACAATAAGTGTTAATATATCAGCATGATGTACAAAACTTTGTATTTAGATAATTTGTAGTTAGTTCAGTTAGTTAGAAGGTAGTTATTTTCTGTTACATCATTTAGCTTGTACGCTATAGTCACTAGCTGATGTCTATATATCAATTAGATGAACCTTCAATGAAACTTGATCATTTTTCGTCTTTTATCAATCTCAATATGGTATGAGAGCTCATCTAGAGCTCTGATATCCACACCCTTCTTCTTCTCCAAAATTTTCGTCTTCGAATTTCTTCTTGTTCTTCAAGACTCCTTTCGTTCTTTCAACCAAGAAAATGGAAAATGCAATTCCAAACATAGCTCTAATTCAGAATACAGCACCAGAATCCAATCCTTACTATTTGCATCCTAATGAAAGCCCATCGCTAATCTTGGTGTCTCCTCTGATGAATGGAAAGAATTTCCACACATGGTAGAGATCAATGCGCATGACACTTTTGTCCAAGAACAAACTTGGCTTTGTTAATGGAACCATCAAGAAACCAGATGAGAACTGTCCTCTCTTTGGAGCATGGGAGAGGTGCAATACTATGGTAATTTCTTGGCTTCATCGCTCTATCTCAGATTCAATTGCACAATCAGTTCTGTGGATGGACAAGACAGATGACATATGGAAGAACTTGAAAGATAGATTTGCTCAAACTGATATGTTCAGAGTCTCTGATCTACGAGATGAAATATTCAAACTTCAACAAGGAGACAAATGCGTTTCAGATTACTTCACCTAGCTATAGATTCTATGGGATGAATTAGAGAGCTTGCAGCCAATTTTGCCATCATGCGCATGTGGAGCAGCAACACCGATCAAGGATACTCGTGAAAGAGACTATGTGATAAGATTCCTTAAGGGATTAAATGACCAACTTGAGCATGTGAGAGCTCAGGTAATGCTGTTAGATCCTCTCACTTGTGTTAACAAAGTATTTTCTCTCATTCTTCAGCAAGAAAGGCGTTTAAGAGTAGGAGCCAATGTTTCTGGTATCCAATATCCAAAAAATTTTATCAATATTGCTGAACAACAAAGATCAAGAGCACCAATGGATAGGGGACAACTCCGTTCCAGTCAAAGCTTCAATCAAGGAACCAATGGATAGGGGATAAATTCGTTCCAGTCAAAGCCTCAATCAAGGAAGAGGCCGTGGAATCAAATTTTGCACATATGGAAAAAGAACAAACCATGCCATTGAAACATGCTATCTCAAGCATGGATTTCCACCGGGTTATAAAACTAGGAGGCCACACGCTGCTGCAAATTTTGCTTCACCAGAATTAGATGATGATATTGATCTTGAGGTAGAAAATAAATAAGAGATTCTGAATTTTACATTTTCGAAAGAACAACATCAGGAAATCCAGAAGCTCCTACAAAGATCAAAACAAACACACTCCTCCAACATGGTTTAGACACATTCATCTACTTTCAACATAGGTAACACAATATTAGGTATCAATTCAAACCATTGGATTTTGGATACTGGGGCTACTGATCACATCGCATGCATTGCCTCTAATCTTTCATGTATTCAATCCATAAATCTCATACACATTACACTTCCAAATGGCACCCAAATTACCACAACACAGTTAGGCACATCTAGGATTTTTGATTCCCTAGTTCTCAAGAATGTTTTTTATGTTCACTCTGTTCGTGTCAACTTAATTTCAGTCACTAAGCTTCTTCGAGACACTCAATCTCATTCCTATTTCCTTTTCTATGATTGAACTTGTTCCATCCAACAGATCTCAACCAACCAAACGACTGGTTTAGCTACGTAAATCAATGTACTCTACATATTAAAGACACATGAAGGATCTGTCAAGAAAAGCTTCTGCAATAAAGTGACCTCAGATGATACACTAATATGGTACCAAAGACTTGGACACCCTTCTGAACCAGTTATAAAGACCATGTCCATTTACTTTCCTTTCATTTCGTGTAATAAAATAGATCCTTGTGATGTATGCCACTTCGTTGTTACCTTACATTTCCAGCACAATCAAAATTGCATTTCCTTTTCAATTAATACATACTGACATTTGGGGTCCCTTTTCCACAACTTCTTTACATGGTCATTGTTATTTCTTAACAATCGTGGATGATTTTACACGATTTACTTGGGCCATTCTTCTAAAAAACAAGGCTGAGGCACGCATCAACTTAAGGCGCTTCACTGCCTATGTTGAAGACCAATTTAACTTTTCCGTAAAATTCATCAGAAATGATAATAGAGCAGAATTCATCAAGACTGATTTCTATCTTTCTAAAGGGATTGAACACCAACGTTCTTAGGTAGAATCACCTCAACAAAATGGGGTTGCAGAACGTAAACACCAATATAGACTCAATGTAGCCCGTTCTTTTTTCTTTCAAGCCAAATTACCCATCAGCCTATGGTCCTATGCTATTTCTCATGCTATCCACATTATAAACCAAACCTACACACCACTTCTCAACAACAAGACACCCTATGAAAAGCTATACAACAATTCTCCATTTCTCATACATTTAAAAGCCTTTGGTTGCCTTGCACATGCCACAACCTTACAAGCTAAACGCTCCAAGTTTGATTCTCGAGCCCATAAGACAAGCTTCATTGGTTACAAACAAGGTACTAAAGACTATATCATGTTCAACCTAGTTACCCGAAACATTATCATCTCCAAAAATGTCATCTTCTATGAAAATAAATTCCCTTTTTCCTTTGAATTTGACATACCAACAAATATAGATAACCATCAACCAACTATACCCATTCCTACATATGAAACACTCCAACCCAATATACCTGAACCCATTTTGCCACATGAATCCACCTTACCAGATACCTCATCACAATAACCTACCATTTTACCAAAGTAGCAACCTTTTACAATCTGGAAGTTTTGATCCCAATCCTCAACAACCTCAACATCATCAACCTAGACGCTCTTCCATACCACATACTGCACCCAAGTATTTACAGAACTTTCACGTGTCTCTATCGATTACTTCTGACACCAATGCTGTCTCAGGTATCAATTCCATTTATATCCTCTTTCCAAAGTTTTATCATATAATAATTGTTCTCCTGGCTACAAGAATATCTTTCTAAACACTACCACCAGTGTCGAACCAAAATCATATTCACAAGCATACTAGCATGATTGTTGCAGAAAAGCTACGCATGATGAGATCATGGCCCTCGAACATAATCAGATGTGGTCTGTAGTTGATCTTCCTCCCAATACTACACCCATTGGATGCAAATTTTAACGCCCCGTCTGCAGCCGGTTAATTAACATTCATATGATAGTAAGCGCAACATGCTCAACTTAATTAATGCGGAAGCTAACTGAATAAATTTTCTCTTCTTTCTTATGTATTGCAAACCTTTTCACTGCAATGGCCAAAATAAAACGGACAACATTTCCTCTGTATTTTGGACCACTGGGGATAATTCCCACCAAGATAATTTCAACCTGATTGACAGTTTGATATAATCTAGATATAAACCATATTACCCAGCCATCCATGGCGTAGGCTATCTCAGAATCATAACAGATCTCAAATTAATATCCATAGAGTTACTTACATGATTACATCAACCAACTAAAAGAGATGTAATCAAATAAGTAACCTAGACATATACAGACATAAATATCAACATGGCATAGACATCTCCTA